AAATGTGCAGAGGGAATACATATGAAACAAGCTATGACAGCCACTGTGCAAATTAATATTTCAACAACAAATAGAAATTTTTTAATTTAGAAGTTGTTAAAAACTGCGTCATGTGCAATTTAAATGTTTGAATACATTTTGTTTAAGTTGAGTGTTTATTATTATATTTTAAAATAAATAGTAATTAAATTTAAGTTTAGGCTCTGTTGTTAATTGTTTATATTATATTATACAAACCTTATATTAATGTAAAAGGGCTCCCTATAGTGTAGAACATAAGCCGAGGAGGTAGGCTATTTTTATTCCTAAGAAAATTGTAATTACAACTGAATTTATTTAAAGAAAGAGACATTTGTTCAGTAAACCACTGTTTAATAATAATAAAAAAGCAATTTAATGTTTAGTTTTTACCCCTGCTGTACCGAAACCATACCAAACCGTGATGTCAAAACCTAGGTACATACCAAACCGTCATGTTTGCGTACTGTTACTCCCCAATTATATTCAGAGATAAGGGGTAGAAAAAGGCCAGTAGTACATTTCCATTCCCTTTGTTTGTTATAGCAAACCTTTTTGAAATTTTTCCCACCTGGTCCAAGGTTTAACAAAGACACAATTAAATAATATGATGCGATTTCAAGTTTTCATTTCTCTATGGAGTGTTGCAAGCTGTTCATGCATAGATAAGATCCCTAAAGTTGCAAAGACTAAAGTCTCAAACCCAAAGAGATATTCTTTATAAATGTTAAGACTTGTCCACGCCCTCCTAAAACGCCTCGTTTAAACACGCCCCCACATGTCTATGTCACTGTGTGGGAAGATTTGCATAACACCGCCCAAATGTTCACACAAAGAAGAAAGGCGTAACTTTTATTCTCGCTGTAGTATTGTTGTTGCCGCCACCGCCATGTTGTGGAGACGCTGTATGTTTCGTTGTGAAAGCGAAACAACTTTGTTTGGCCTTCCAAAAGAGGACACAACTAGAAATCAGTGGTTAAGTTGTATTTATAACATTGTTCCAGAACAGTTCAACCCAAATATTCAGATGTGTGTAGCTCATTTTATGAAGGACTGTTTCCTGGGAGAGTAGACTACAATGCGTCTGTGGCACAAAGGCTGTTTCTATAAAGTGGGGCAGTTCCAACTTTGGAAAGACAGTCTGGTGCTTCTGACTCACAGCCTGTAAGTATGTATTTTATATTTAAAGAATTTGCCAATGATGATTCAAACTCGAGTTTTGAGCAGTGTAGAGTACTTGTTGTTTGTCGTTTCTTCGATCACAAATGCAGACATGGTTTTATGTTTACGCGGCGCGATACGCAACGCAATGTGTTTTTTTTTTTACCTTAAACCGCATAAACACATTGCATTACACCAAATAGACAACATAATGTTATTTTTAGCAATGTCATATGACCCCTTTAAAATTTGATAAATTCTGCTTATTTTAAACATAATTTCATCATCTGACTCCTGCTCTTCCTAACATCTGGCTGATAAAAACTTCAAGTTATCAGCAAAATCTGACATTTCAGAGGTCAAGTAACAAATAACCTGGATCTATATATAAAAAACATATGATTTCAAACTACACACATGAACACAAATGTATTTATTTTGTATTGTTGCTATTAAATGTCCAATATAAGGTACAATAATGTGATTAAACTCAGAAGAAAGCTGGAGCGGGATGTGAGCAATGGTAATCTGGTGAGGTCTGAATGTTGACAGCTAAAGCTCTGTTTGACTAACATGTCAAAGTTTCACCCAAACAGAGGAAATGCCACACAGGAACTAGTGACACTGGGATCAGGCCGCTTTAGCATGAATGATTTAGCATTTCTCATGAGACAGAGGGAGAGCAAGAGGGAGAGAGCGAGAGTTTGTAGCTGTCATTGGCGGGGCATGGTCGGCCTTTCTCACTGTTCTCCGCGAGTATAGAAGTTCTAAAGTTTTCTTTCTCTCTATTCAGGAGGTCCCTTGGTGCATGGGCTTTTTCCCCACTGTTAGTATTACAAAATCCCCATTCAGTATAACCCTTGTCACCTGTCAACTAAGCCAGGCTGGTTTTCTAGGTCTTTATCCCCTACGCACACTGAGAGAGAAAATAAAATGAGCAGCTAAGCTTATACCCTACCCCCATTTGATGCGTGCACACACCCAAGAAACACACACACACACACACACACACACACACTAAAACCGCATGTCTCAGAGCTGCTACTCTAGCAGATTAAAATTCATTACCCTGTTCTATTTAAGAAACGTTTACATTGCATTGGTTATTGTTGGTCATTCATTAGGTGGTCAGGGGAGTTCACATGGGTCCCCCAGGGTGATCAGAACCTAATCCTCATATCCAACCATTTTTAAGCATCTTCACACAAACACATAAAGTGATAAGCTCATTGCAACAAATACATACCATATTTGGTTATTCTCTTATTTCTCTATGTACTTGTTCCTTGTTCCACATGCTGCATTTACTTCGTTACCGGTTCACCGCTGTTTTCAGCAGCATCAGTTTGAGTTCAAAACATTGTGTTTAAATCAAAGTTTAGTTATTACAATATCTTACAAGGTCTGTAGATTCGGCAATTGTTTGATAAATGAAATGAAAATTCTTTATGCCAGTGTAACTCTCAACAAAATACTTTAAGTTAAAATATTAACTGAAATCTGACTGACTTACAAACTTGTAAGCTTGTTAAATTCTAGGATGATTATTTTTGCAAATTAGCTTCAATCATATAAGTTAACCAGTGTTACGCATACACTTGTACACATATATAAAACTGTTATATAAACCTAAACATTATTAATTTTTAGGCTAACGTATTTCTTTCTGTGGCATCCTACCAGTCAAACACAGTGACAAAAATACAAAGCAAAGAAAAGAAAAGAGCCACCCTGAAGCATGATGTCACTATAGACCTAATCTCTTCCCTCATCCTGAATACAAATGACGCAAACTGTTGTAGCTATATTTACAAACACACACACACACACACACAAATAATACCTTACTTAAGAGTTATATACAACTTAATTCAAATGCTTTTCATTTAAATGACGGCTTGTATTGTGTGCTGATCAGATTGAAAATGTTCTAAAACATTTTAAACTTAGTAAAAACTGGTTAGTAATAATAGTGCATAAGAACATTTTGCAAAAGAAAAGTTGCGTTACTTTTTGCTGTCTCTTAAATGTATATTTTCACATAATTATATTTTCTCTTAGATTTTCAGTATTTGGCTAGACAATAAAATCATCAGTTAAATTGTGATTTAACTTCTTAAAGGAGACATATTATGCCCCTTTTTATAATATGTAATATAAGTCTCTGGTGTCCCCAGAATGTGTCTGTGAAGTTTCAGCTCAAAATACTCAACAGATCATTTCTTATATCATTTTGAAATGCCTATTTTGAGTGGAAGTAAAAACACGCTGTTTTTCGGGCCTGTTTCTTTAAATGCAAATGAGCTGCTGCTCCCCACCCCCTTTTCCAGAATAGAGCTGCGCCATTAAAGCTCGGACCTCCTAAAAACATTTGTTATAGTTCTGATTATCATGTTTATCGCACTGAAATCATACGTTTTAAACCATATGAGTTTAAACTTCTGATATACGGTTTTCTGAGAGCACACATCCGAAACACACAGACAGAAAGCGCCTGTCACAGCATGTGAGTACTAAACTAAGTTCTCATTCACACACAAGTTTACATTAAAAACACATATGAGTTACAAAAACAGTCGGTTATGTCTGTGAAGGTATACTGCTGGGAAATAAATTGCATGTTTATTTTAGATCTAAATAGTGTTCTGTGCTCGTCTGTGCAGACAAAGGCAGAACAGTTAGTATGTTTTGCTCAAACTTTCGCCATGGCATTAGAGCTGGTACACTGTTGTCGCTTGCGAAATCAAAATGACGGCGCCATGGGTGGAAACTTACAGATTAAGGGGCGGTAATATTATAATGAGATCCCTTTGCCACGTCACCAAGGGAGCGAAATCAGACGCGCTCGTTTTCTCAGATGCTTGCAGAAAAAGGCTTACCAAAACAAAGTTACTGGGTTATTCTTTTTCACGTTTCCTTGGTTGGTAGATGCACCAGGGACCTGATTATAGCACTTAAAACCTGGAAAAGTCAGATTTTCATGATATGTCACCTTTAAAGGTTAAACATAGAAACGTAAATGTGGCATGCCTATGTTCAGCATGAATTGTGCTATATATAGAATTATATAAAACGAAAAAAAAAAAGTTCAGTATATACAATTTCTATTCAGTGCCTTTTAGTTGGAGACTATTTTCAGAAATGGATGGTCATGAATTGAAATATCTAAATAAACAAATTAAACTATGGTTCATGCAAATCCCCATCAGTCATTGGGGAAGTTGTGGCCTAATGGTTAGCGAGTCGGACTTGTAACCCAAAAAGTTGCGGGTTCGAGTCTCGTACCGGCAGGGATTGTAGGTGAGGGGAGTGAATGTACAGTGCTCTCTCCCACCTTCAATACCATGACTGAGGTGCCCTTGAGCAAGGCACTGAACCCCCAACTGCTCACCGGGTGCCGCAGCAAAAAAATGGCTGCCCACTTCTCCGGGTGTGTGTTCACTGCTGTGTGTGTGCTCTTTGGATGGGATAAATGCAGAGTACTAAATCCGAGTATGGGTCACCATACTTGGTCACATCACTTTCACTTTTTTTGAGCACTACCAAATATAATACAGTGTCAAATATTATTCGAAATCTCTGAAATAGATTGCAAGACCCTATAAAAATGTGAAGAAGACTCTTTTTAGCTTGAAAGTTAATAATAATGGAGACTATTAGTCAAATCCTTCTTAGTCAATTGCATTTGTAATATTTATGTGGTACTACTTCTATGCTAATTAATTTTTGCAGCATGAAATAACATTCAACAAATCCAAAGCTAGCCTGCAGTGAACAGTGATACAACAAATGCTGACCTGACTGGTCAAAAGGGTCTGTACCTGGTGTCAAAGGCTGCCATGAAGATCGGGTACTGCACATTTCCGTGGCGGTCAAGAGGGAGCCTGTCCAACAGCTGCTCAAACTGAGGATCGGAAATCTCTAGGCCAAACCTGTGGAGAAGGTCAGGGGAAGGTCAGCAAGAGATCACTGATGTCACCACAGCCGAGAGTCCACTCATCAGGGCCGGCCAGTCCAGCAGGCCTTAAGCATACGCCACTCATTGACCCTCTCGCACACTGCGGAGTCAAGAGGTCATAAGGTCAACTGCCCTCTTCACCGGCCATCGCACAGAGCTGGACACACAGTGGCTAGTCAATCAAGGGATTAGACTTTACATACACGTATGCACACCCTCAAAAATTCACTCACACAAACTACAACCTTCACTCGCTCCAGAAAACACAGATAAAGACAAATGAACTTATCAAAGATTATGAATAAAAATGTGAGATTGTCCTTCAGAACAGACAGACATGGTCCACACTGACTACAATACTACATACTCAAACAAAGTGGATTATGGTGAGGTAAATGTGTTTTAAAGGGCAGAGAGAAAAGACAGGGAGTTTAAAACTGTCATAATATGACTAAATTAGGTTATCACTCCATTTAGACCCAGATAAGGCAGGGTCTTTCTTGAGGGGGCACCAGTCACAGTCCTGGTTTACTTGTAGTAGGCTAGATAAATTAGGTGACCAAAGAAAAATACTTAGTAATTCATCATATGCAGATGTCAGTCTAAAAAAGATGGTTCTTTAAAGGTTCTTTACATGCAGTAATGGCTTTATTTAGAACCATAGCATTCTGAAGAACCCTTTTATGCTGAAATGGTTCTTTGTTTTAGAGCGTAGGGTTCTTTATTCCCCCCCTTTTGTTTTTCAAATCTGTAACTGACAAAGCACCTCATTACTGATTTTCTGGAGTTCAGTGATCCAACTACACAGACTGTTAACACACTCTCAATATACCATTACTTTTTTTTCTTTTAAGATTGTGAAGGGCTCACATTCTGTCCATTTTTGCTTTTGGCCTTCGTAAACATAATTGTTTTGACACAAACACATGGACACACTGCAACTCTAACTCAATTGTGTATTTCAGATGTATCACATCCTACAACCTCATCACGAGCAGAGAAAAATCGCCACTTAATCACACCAACATAATAGACTTAAAGGCATCATATGGATTGGATTGATTGTTTCACTGAAAGTTGGTCTTCATCACATCTATTTTTTGTTCTTATTTTGTGTTGCACTTCTTTATGTATTTATTCATGTTCAATGTCAATTGTCATTCATTAATGTATTCAGCTAATAACTGTTGTTAAGAGCACTGACAATTTTGCATGTCAATAAAAACATAATTCACACAACATGCTGCTGTTGTTGTTGTTGTTGTTTTACTGTAAAACCTTAACCGAGGCTACACTCTAAGAAGCCTCATTACTGATTTTCTGGAGCCCAGCCATCCAACTACACAGACCGTCAACACACCCTCAACAGGTAAATAATTTCTTTCTTAAAATGTCTATAAATTATAACTTTCAAATGCTAATTGGATTCCTATGTCTTTTCTCTCTTTAGTTTAACAAAACATGTAAGTGTGACCAGCTCTATTCAGTTAAGGATACTCTCCTCTTCTTCACTAAGTAAGTAACAAAGATATTGAATTTTTGGTCCATTTTGTTAGATATGTTGTATTACTAGGGTTTATGCATAAACACACCTAGCTATCCTTTTTCCTTTTAACATTGTGAAGTGCTCACATACTACTTTTGGCCTTCATAAACAATTGTTTTCACATAAACAAATGAAAGGAGACAAACCGTATATCTAAACTCAATTGTGCATTTCAGATGCTGTCACATCCTACAACCTCATCATCTGCAGAGAGAAACTGCCATTCAATCACACCAAAATACAGATAATGATTAACTTAAGGGCATCATAGAGGATTGTGAAGATATTTCACTGGAGCTTGGTCTTCAATACACTATTTTATGCTCTATTTTGTTTTATTTCTTTAAGCATTTATTTATTATTTATTTATTTCATTAATGTATTCTGCTATTAACTGTTGTTAGAACAAAGTCATGTTTGCTACAATTTCACGTCATTAAAAAAAGTATCTAATTGACACGTTGTTGTTGTTGATTTTATGTAAACCCCTAATAGACACTTCAAGATATTATAAAACCAGGCAGATACAGGGGTAAAAAACAATCATAATAAATAATGTATACAAATAATACTAATATTAATGATATTAACATACTAATATTAATGAAAAACTATCATTAAAAAGGTTATTTATAACACCAATAAGGTCCTATATCCTCCTGAGACCCAGCTATGGAGTTTTTGCCTCTGTAGTGGACATTATATTTTAGAGAATTTCCCTGAGACCTCACATGTCACAGTCTTCAGTCTGGATGTCCTGTACAGAGCACATTCAGGGCTTTCCAGAGATACCAAATGATTGGATGTTTCACCATGACCGCTCTCTCTCCTTGGTTTTTAAAAATGGCTGACATTAATTTAGTGATAAAACTGTACATCCTTATGGAAATATGATCATATTTTGTAATTATAATTTAAATCTGATTAATTTTCAAATTGTTTGTCATAAATCAACATCTCAGGAAAATGTTATGGGGTTTCAAATCAAAATATGACTTCCTGTTATGAAACAGGACATCATTTCATACATGTCCACTGTAGAGGACACCAGGACTAAAAGCATGTTTATTATACATTTAGGGCTACTAAATTCACAAAGCTTTTTATTTCTGGTTCTCAGGAGGATATAGCATTTTCAAAGCATGGTGAGGATATAGCATTTTCAACCCTATAAAAAAGGTACTATTTAGCACCAAAAAGGGTTCTGCTATTGTTACAAGCTGAAGAACCCTTTTCTGGTACTGTTTAGAACCATTTTTCTTAAGAGTGTAGTACAGTCAGTGATTCTCAAACAGGGGGCCAGAGCCCAAAAGGGGGGCTTTTCAAACTTTCAAGGGGGCTGCAAGATGGCTTAGAATGATGTAATATAAATAAAGATAAGTTAAAACACCTAAAAATTCAAATGTAAGCTGACATTGTATTGCGTAATTTAATTGGATGCCTCAACAACAAATCCTTGGAACAGGATTCTAACAGTCTTGAAAACCTGGATATATGAGGGATTTGTAAAAGAATGATTTCTACGAAGTCAAAAAAAAATGTAAAAATTAAAAAGTCATGGAAATTTTTATAATTAGTTAATGAGGATTATGTTTTTCAAGTTACGTCAAACTCTAAAATATTTTATCAGGTAGACATAGCTATTTATGAAAAAAATGTAACCACAAAAAAATAGAAAAGTCATTTAAATTCATGTGTTATAAAAAAGCATGAAAGCTAAAGAACACTATTCTCAAAACTTCTGGAATTATGGATTTGAATTATTTATAATATCTAGTTGCTGTAAATAAAAATGTTTATAAACGAGCAGCTTTGTTGTTACAACAGAAGTAACAGAAATATTTTGGGGGGAGCTTCAAATATTGTGGTGGGAATTAGAGTCAAAAAGGTTGAGAACCACTGGTCCAGTGGTATTGTTTTACCAAGCAATCCTAACCAAACACATAAATTATATATCATGTTTTATCTGAAATTAATCAACATAAATTTTTCATTGTGTGAAAAGATGTCAGCTTTAACATTTTGATAAAGACTCTTTTCTTTATTTTAATGTCCCCAAATGAGAGTACTGATGATGACAGAATTTTTAAAGCAAATATTCTGAAAGTAAGATTCGATTAGACCATGTGAATGTGCAATTTCTGTCACAACAATTGACAAAAACAACTTTTGCATGCCTACAGTAATCATGTAGCTTAATTAGAGATAGAAATAGTATACCTGCTCTCCATAGCAGCTCGGAATTCTTCTTTACTAATGGCCCCTTTATTAAGCTTGTCAATGTTCCTATACAAATACACACATGCAGAGAAACACACATATATTTGTAAATGAAATTACATTTACTTTTCAAATAGCATTAAAGCATTTTCTAAATGCATAAGCTGAAGGTAAGACGATATGCTTTTCAAACTCAAGAGAGATGCTTCTGGTTAGAGGATCTGGAGTTTAAAGGGTTCAAATGGAAACTCATTTGAGCAGAAGGGTTTCTGTGATGAGGTTCTTAGTAACAGTGCAAAGTTCTAATTAAATAGACCAAAAAAGTGCCAACCTTCGACCCCAAATTTAGTGAAACATCTTGTGTGTTAAAAGAGAGAGAAAAGATACCTGTTCTCAATTTAGAGGGTGTTAATGGGGTCTTGTTCACAAGGAGAAAAGGGGAGAAAGAGAGATGGAGAGAGAGAATGGGATTGTACTCACTGAAAGCTCTGGAGGAGTGAGAGGTACTCTGACTGAAACAGGCGAGTTAATTTGGCCTCTATGGCACTTAGAGAGGAAACACAACTGAGGTTCTCATCAGAATGAAACCTGCAGAAAATGAAAAGTTTTTTTAAAACACTTTTTTCTCTGAAGAATATAAAGACGATTAAGGTTCAAACATGAACTACGAACAACTCTGAGTCAGAGTTGATTAAGAAAATACTAAAGAAAAATATAAAGTGAAGTTAGTTTGGAGTAAAGTTCTTTTTCAAAACCATTTTTTGTTTACAAATTGCATTTGATCTAATATTTTGTTTATTATCTTCTGCAATAAAATTCATAGATTGTAAAGAGTGGCTTTAGTATCCTAATACTTTTTGGGGCCATGTATTTTGTCACCATGGTGAAAGGTTCTATACATTGCAACTGTTTGCCTGCCCTATTTTATTCATCCGCCAATCCTTTAAGCTGTGGACCACCCCAATCAAACCAAACACAGTCAGTTTAGGCCTAGTGTTCAGTAGCTGTTTACTGATCCCGGTGTGCTGGGTGACCCAGGGCAGGGGAGAACTATGGGCCGTAAGCTTGTTAGAAATTGAAAGAGTTTGACTACAAGGCTTAAAGTTCACTTTCTCTGGATGCTTCTGTGTAATTTGGGCTCTGTGTAAGCACAGAAAAGACTCAAGAGTTTCTGTTTCCATACTGCACTGTTACTGATGACAGAACAGAATTATCTACACTCATCAGAATCAATTTTGTATGTGGTAATATTCCGTTTCTTAATCTAGATGAAATCCCACAAGATACACTTAATTCTATAGATAGTATTTGATCAAAAATACAATAAAAACAGTAATATTTTTACAATTACAGTTTTCTATTTTAATATATTTTAAAATGCAATTTATTGCTGTGATGCCAAAGCTGAATTTTCAGCATCATTACTCCAGGCTTCAGTGTCACACAAGCCTTTAAAAATTGTTCTAAAATGCTGATTTGGTCCTCATTGTCAAGTTACACACACGAGGAACGAGGAGACACGGAGTAGAATAAATCAAAAGGGTTTTATTAACAAAGGCTGGGGATCACAGGACTCGACACATCAGGACGACGTTCAACGGCTGACAAAGAACAAGAACACACAGGACCAATGGAGAACACCTGGGAACAAACTAATAAACACAGCTGGAGACGAATACACACAAACGAGGACAGGAACAGGAAGGACCATATAAGGGCATTGGAGTCACATGGGGAGCAAAACACACACAAAACATGAACCAGAGTCTGACACTCATGTGAAATTTCATGTTATTATCAATGTTGAATTTGTACATTTGAATTGAACATTTGTACTGCTTAATATTTTTGTGGAAACTGACATTGATTGATTAATTGATTGACTGATTGATTAATATGAATAAAAAGAGGAATAAACGAAATTAAACAGATTAAAATAGAAATTGTTTGTAGCATTGTAAATTGGATTAATTTAATAAATCTTTGATGAATATAACTATTAATTTCTTTCAAAAATAAAATCTTACTTACCCCAAACATTTGAATAGTAGTGTACAAAGGTGAAGTATTCTCCTTGTTTACATGCAAAATTCTGATAAATATTCTGATATTAAATTTAGATTACAATTGAATGATGTATGTCATGTAAATTCAGCAGAGTGATTGTCATATTCCAATGAATTCAAAATTCTTGTTTCTAGAAATCTGAATAAGACAACTGGCATATGCCTGTATTAATCCACTTGAATATGGACTGTTAATTTATATCTATGCCCCTATGGAAATATTAGGAACGCCCTCTCTTGCCACTGATTAAGCATATTTTTGCAGGTGTTTGGAACCTGGAGGGATCAAAGCTCCATATGAATATATATTATTAGGATATTGCTATGATGTAAATCTGACCTGTGTTTTGGGTTGGAGATGATCTTGTGAGTAATGCCATCTGAACTTCTGTCCTGGAAGGTGCGCAGAAAGTTCAAGTACTGTACACAACCCTTTTTTAGCTTCAGACCACACCGAGACAAAAACAGACCCAGGTGCTCTCTCTTCAGATGCAGCTCAAACTTCCTCAACACCTGCAGAAAGTCTGCACCCCTCACCTACAAACAGAATGCAGGATATTTACATTAATCAATATGACTAACATTTTTGTACCAGTCTGTTTGTGAAGTCTGATGCCATTTGCTACCTTTCCACTGTTCTCAGGATCCAGTTTATCAAACTCAGTTTTCATTCTCTGAGCTCCTTCCCTGAATATGTCCTTCAACCATGCCTCTATTGCGATAGATGTGTGATGCTCCTCTTCCGCCTTAGAGAGTGTCCTACCAGGAGCTGAGGGAAAGAGGAAGGTATAACAGGAAATTATGTATTACATTACGATTTAAACTTTCTAATAACAGGTCTCTGATTAATGTCATCATCTGATGAGCTCATATTAAACCAGGCAAAGGCTAAATCCCTGAAGAAGATCCCTGCTGAAACGTAGGTGGTCTATAGGTGGACTGTTGCTCAACTACACATCAGAATAAAGCAAACTAAAGCTGCTAGTTTCTCCAAAACCAGTGCAAAAACTTGTCCCTCTATTTCTGAGACGATCAATACTATTTATCTATACTTACTTCAATTAATAATTTTAGTACAATAATAATTTAACTTCTGTTTTCTTTTAATTATAAAAGTGATTGGACACAAACAGTTCTAGAGCAGAGTTTGTTTTTTTAACTGACTACTGTTGATGAATTTGATTATTGATTATTTTGTAAACTGACAGCAGAGGATACTTTATAATAAAAAATAATTATGATTCAGCTCATGAAACAGTACTAGGTAGTCTACAAATTCTATTATCATCAGCTTCACCTTTGGTGTCTTCAGCTTTAACAGTAATAGAAGTGTTTCTCTCATTGTTTGGTTCAGTCCTCCTGCTCAATCCCAATTTATTTAGAAAAATCGTTTGCTTAACTGCACCAAGTCCATCCACATCTAACCTGTTTAAAAGAGATGGAGAATTTTTTATTACAGTTTTTTTTTTTAGTTACAATTTTATTCTAAAATCTATAAAGCAATTTGATGGCAGAACTAATCAAATAAATAATAAATAAATACACAAATAAATCAATTCAAACCTTTTCCATAATTTTTCAAAATCAGGATCTTTTAGGTGAAGCTTGAGTTTGTTGAGAATATTTCTGAACTCTGGGGCAGAAATCCAGCTTTCGGTAAGATTGTCTGACTTGCACAAAACCTCTACACTCTCCAGAAACCTACAGTAGGAGAAATGGTTTCACAATCATCGCAAACAGCTACTCGGGAGCTAATTTTTCATGTTTAAAAAATACATTCTTGATGAATTGAAAATTCAATAGAACAGCATTTATTTGAAATAGAAATCGTTTGTAAGATTATAAATGTCTTTACTGTCACTTTTCATCAATTTCATGCGTCCTTGCTGAATACTTTTTTTTTCAAAAAATAAAAATAAATAAATAAATAATAATAATAATAATCATTATCATCATCATCATCATCTTACTGAGCCCAAATTTTAGAATTGTAGTGACAGTGTGACATATTTTAAACATTCAAAATACTGACATACTGAAAATCTATTTCATTTATTTAATATGGCTTACTTGAAGATATTAAACATTTAAATTTATTATACTTTTCTTATTCGGTTTATTTTTCTACACTTTTGCTACCAAAAAAATTAAGTATATATATACTGTATATATATATATATATATATATATATATATATTTTTTTTTTAATCTGAGTGTTTGGGGGTGTGAGAGAGACCCTCTAGGAGCTAGAAATTGTTTAATAGTCCTGTTTTTGTTTCTCCTCTCTTTGTCTCTCTCTCACACATACACATACTGTCAATCATACATATGATTGTCCTTATTATGTCCCTTTGTGTCTTTCACTTATCCTTTCTTTCTATTTTCAACCCTTTTGGACCCATAAATCTGCCTTTTGCACATTTTTATGTGTGCCACATTTCTCTTCTTTCCTGTTTCTCTTTCATCTTTATCCCTCTCTTGCTGTCTTTTTATTCAGTCTTTTTTTCTTTCCCTCATCCTATCTTTCCCATCTCTCACTTGGACACTCATAGTCAATGTGTCTGTAAGAAAGAGAGGGAAAATGTGTGCGATTAGTCACAGAGATTTCTTTTTTTTTTTTTTTTTGCTCACGGCTGGAGTGTGTCTTGGTCTGACCAGGTCTAACGCAATCAGTATGACACACACACACACACACCAACCAAACTTTCACACTCTCGCACACTCCCTCTACAACCTCATTGTATTACACTGATGCTTTAAACAGTTAAGTACAATAGTTGCAGTAGTACAGAAAGGGAGACATGGAGGGGGCGCCAGAACGGTAAGCTGCTTTGCTGATCATCCTTTTGCTTTCTGTCCACCCTGGGCACAAGACGCACTCTGAGCTCCCTGCTGGTGAACTTTTGAGTGTGAGCAGTTCACAGTCTCTGTTTCTAAACCGTTATCTCTTTCTAGAGCACTGTTTGTGTGATAACTTCTTTTTTTCAATAATCATCATTAAGTGTACATTAAGTCTACAAATACACTTAAATACCCGAATGTTGCATTAGATACAAAATATCAAACAAAGTGGAATCCATAAATGATGCTAAATCAGTGGTTCTCAATGAGAGGGCCGGAACCTCTGCATACATCATGTGGGCCCCCAATGAGTCTTAAAATGATTTAAATTTGGTCATAGTAACATAACTTTTATTAGAATTCTAAAAACAGAAGTAAAAACACTTATCCAGATCTTGTCTAAGAATACTTCGCTAGACAGGCTATATGTCGCAATCCTTCTTTTGTTCTGATATTGGTGGCCTTGTGCAAAACAAAGTAATCACAACATTACAAAAGAGAAACCTTGTAAAACTTGAACTGCTAAATAAATAATATAACTTACACTAAACACAGAGTATTTTAGACCTGTTCTTGCCTATTTTTGTTCTGCTAACAAAAATAGTTCCAATCAAAGCGAAAGCCGAATTGCACATCCAAGAGTAGTGTGTTTTCTGAATGTATATAGTTTTTGAATGAATTGGTTGAGTCAATGATTCAAAGAGTCACTGAAATACTGCCACCTGCTGGCATGACGATGTAATTTGCCGAAAGAGCTATTAAAGGGGTCAAATAAAATTTGCCTTGATCTTTTGGCATATATGAGGTCTTTGTACCAATCTTTGTTCAGATATCAGAAGGTTCCCAGCATTAGGAACAAGTGGATAGTTTATTTTTAATTTTTCAATTTCAGAGGCTTGTTTGGAGTATTTTGTTTTGTAAATGAGGCACAGTGTCATAGAGAGTTCACAAAGAAACATTTGTTGCAAGATGAAGCGGTCCCAGATCTGACTGAAGCTGCATCACAAACTGTAAGTAATTGATTTCATAATGCTTTGTCTGGAAATGATCATGTTGTCAAAACACTCAAAATAACATGCAATAGACGTCGCCTGCGTCTGCGCAGTGCAACCTGATGCAGCCTCTGAAGTGAGACACAGGAAACAGAAATACTGCAAAATAATAATAATAATGAGACGAAATAACGTTATAACATTTCGTTTCGTCTCGTTTTGGTCAACGAAAATGAAGAGACATTTTAGCATAGTTTTTATTTTGTAAGCCACATTTCGTCTCGTTTTTATTCGTCAACGATATTGCATTATACATTTAATTACCGTCATCGTCACATGACCAGCATTTTCGTCTCGTCTCGTCTCGTTTTCGTCATGTGATAAAGGTTCGTTGACGACTATATTTAGTCATAGTTTTCGTTGACGAAAGCAACACTAATAGCAAGGGGGTGTTGATACTCTTTCCTATACAATGACATTAGCCAATCATAACAGTGGTCGATTCCTGACATGTCTTAATGGACCTGCCCCTTAAAACAGGTCATTTTAGACTGAGTGCCAGAACAAGGGTTGAAAATAATCTTTTTTTCACATATTTATTTGGGTTTTTTTGAGCAAAAAAACTTTATTAACATTATAAGTAAACCTCAGGGAACATATTAAAATAATAATAAATAACAAAATCCATGTCATGACCCCTTTAAAAGCACTCTCAATTTCAGAATGACAGCCTTGACAAGAAGAATGATACCAGCGATGAAAGGAAGGGACTGTCAAATTTCAGGACGGGAACTTTTGTATAAAAAGAAACATCTTTTTGTGAAATGATTTTCTTGAAAAGTGTGTTTATACTATGTTATATATTTCTTTTTGTTAATTAGGTTATTTGAAATAATTGTTTATGCTTTTGATATTTTGATAAAACATTTTGATATTTTATTCTCCACTTTCCCTCATGACAACAAAGAATATCATATTCAATATGACATTCCTCTCAAGTTAACTGGACCATTAATTTGCGCAAAACTATAGTAGTGTGTAAGGACTGCAGAGATCTCACCTGCTGCGTGCAGGTCCTCTCAGCAGGGCCATTGTCTGAGGAATTGTAAGAAGACCTGCGGGGTTACTTTTATTGGAGTCTGGGTCTTTCAGGGCACCATAAAACTCCTCAAAATTGATAATCACTCGGTCAGAGAGGTGCAGACTGCACAGAGGGAGCAAGACATTATATCTTTTAATCATATGGATCTTGAAACAATAATAATTAGACAGACCTTTAAAGTACAACATAATTTTTATTTTAAGAATTGTTAGATCATTGTCATTACTTACCGAAATAGAAGGTTTTTCAGCTGTTTAGCTGTGACAGGCCTCCTTAGGAAATTTGTAAGGATCTCAAGTAAAGCAGATCTAGGAAAACAGCAAACTATAAGACAATGGGAAAAAATCTGATATTTACATCTGTGTGTGTCTGTTTTCACCTGTTGACCAGAGGTTTGCCATCAGGGTGGTTATTCTTGAACAGGATTTTGAGCATCAGAGCTCCTGTATTTTGAATGCGCTGTTTTAGCTCAACTTCCAGCTTCAAAAGAAAGAGTGAAATTAGTATATTGGTTTCTGTATTTTTTTTTCTTTCTTTTTTTATAATGCATTATACAAAAATAAAGAGGTCAAAACTCAATATTCTCAACATTATTGTTCTTTCCAGAAACACACACTTTCACTTGCAATCCTAACACACTGAAATTAGTTTGTTTTTTATTTACTTTTCTGGAGATTATATATATTACGGCAAATCAACTGCCGTGAATGAAAGAACTGAGTTTGAATGAATGTGTTTTTTTTTTTTTGTGAATCAAAAACACAGCATGACCAGGATTGAAATATTCTCAAATAAAAGAATATTATGAACCAGATCAACTCCTGAATGAACTCCTAATTGGCCAGTTCTTTTAAAAATTGAGCAAGGCCATTGTTTTCATTGTATGCGCGAATGACTTTAAAGAGCTGGTTGTTTTAGTAAATCAGAATCATATGACAAATGTAGTCCAGTTCCCAAACGAATGACCCTTATGAGTTGACCAAATGACGAAAAATGAAGTCTTTTTGTAGATATATGTGACCCTGGACCACAAAACCAGTCATAAGTATCAAAATAGGACAATATTTGGCCGAGATACAACTATTTGAAAATCTGGAATCTGAAGTTATATTTAGAAAATCGCCTTTAAAGTTGTCCAAATGAAGTTCTTAGCAACGCATATTACTAATCAAAAATTAAGTTTTAATATATTTACAGTAGGAAATTTACAAAATATCTTCATGGAACATGATCTTTACTTAATATCCTAATGATTTTTGGCATAAAAGAAAAATCAATCATTTTGACCCATACAATGTATTTTTGGCTATTGCTACAAATATACCCCCAGCGACTTAAGAATGGTTTTGTGGTCCAGGGTCACATATTTAGTTACTCCTATGTTGCATGTTCCTTTGTGGAGATCATTCACATTTATGCAGATATAATTTGACTGAGATAAATGAACTGAACTAACTGAATAAACTGATCACAGAAGATCTGTTCTAAAGTAAACTGTGTAATAATAACAGAGATCATATCCATCCTATGGGCAGCATGTAGATTCATTTAAAAACTGCAGTAACTGAAAGATTAATAGTACTGAATGTATTAAATATGATGAGTGACAGCATTTTGAGCTTCTTTTGTGAGCGGGATGGAATGGAGGGGTTGTGTGTGTATCCATACACCCACTCTGACTCGTGCGTGTGTGTGTGTGTGTGTGTGTGCGCGTGTGTTTGTACCCCCACTGTGTGACTAAGGCAGCTCTCGTGACCAGGCGGAGTCGAGGGGGCCTGTGAGCTGGGTTCAGTCGGTCAGACAGACAGGACCCCAGGGATAAGACTGGCAGGGTCTTAAGAATGGTTTTGTGGTCCAGGGTCACATATTTAGTTACTCCTATGTTGCATGTTCCTTTGTGGAGATCATTCACATTTATGCAGATATAATTTGACTGAGATAAATGAACTGAACTAACTGAATAAACTGATCACAGAAGATCTGTTCTAAAGTAAACTGTGTAATAATAACAGAGATCATATCCATCCTATGGGCAGCATGTAGATTCATTTAAAAACTGCAGTAACTGAAAGATTAATAGTACTGAATGTATTAAATATGATGAGTGACAGCATTTTGAGCTTCTTTTGTGAGCGGGATGGAATGGAGGGGTTGTGTGTGTATCCATACACCCACTCTGACTCGTGCGTGTGTGTGTGTGTGTGTGTGTGTGTGTGTGTGTGTGTGTGTGTTTGTGTGTGTGTGTGCGCGTGTGTTTGTACCCCCACTGTGTGACTAAGGCAGCTCTCGTGACCAGGCGGAGTCGAGGGGGCCTGTGAGCTGGGTTCAGTCGGTCAGACAGACAGGACCCCAGGGATAAGACTGGCAGGGTTAATCACACACAACACCCCCTCTAGACACAGACACCTGCAGATTTGCAGGACTTTCTCTCTCACAGACCCATTTGCACATGTACTCCCTCCTTCTCCTTCTCTTTATCTCTCTTTGCTAATATCTCTCCTGGGTAAACTCGGTGTTAACCACTGAGCTGCAGCTGAGATTTTATCAGTTCTTATGTTTTATTCTACATGAGCAGTAGCTCTCTTTCTCAATGGGACAATGACAGGCTTTGATGTCAAAAGGAGGAACACAAGACAGCAACTTCGTCACTGAGAGGAAAGCACATGGGGATACTTGAAAATATGCCTGCATTCATACACTGCATCCATAATTATATTCCATGGAACCACATGTGAATGGAAAGCTATGCAAACTTGTACACAGTGCTCCAAAACATATGTGAATTTTACATGGGGATACTTGAAAATATGCCTGCATTCATACACTGCATCCAGAATTATATTCCATGGAACCACATGTGAATGGAAAGCTATGCAAACTTGTACACAGTGCTCCAAAACATATGTGAATTTTAATCGCCTTTAAAGTTGTCCAAATGAAGTTCTTAGCAACGCATATTACTAATCAAAAATTAAGTTTTAATATATTTACAGTAGGAAATTTACAAAATATCTTCATGGAACATGATCTTTACTTAATATCCTAATGATTTTTGGCATAAAAGAAAAATCAATCATTTTGACCCATACAATGTATTTTTGGCTATTGCTACAAATATACCCCCAGCGACTTAAGAATGGTTTTGTGGTCCAGGGTCACATATTTAGTTACTCCTATGTTGCATGTTCCTTTGTGGAGATCATTCACATTTATGCAGATATAATTTGACTGAGATAAATGAACTGAACTAACTGAATAAACTGATCACAGAAGATCTGTTCTAAAGTAAACTGTGTAATAATAACAGAGATCATATCCATCCTATGGGCAGCATGTAGATTCATTTAAAAACTGCAGTAACTGAAAGATTAATAGTACTGAATGTATTAAATATGATGAGTGACAGCATTTTGAGCTTCTTTTGTGAGCGGGATGGAATGGAGGGGTTGTGTGTGTATCCATACACCCACTCTGACTCGTGCGTGTGTGTGTGTGTGTGTGTGTGTGTGTGTGTGTGTGTGTGTGTTTGTGTGTGTGTGTGCGCGTGTGTTTGTACCCCCACTGTGTGACTAAGGCAGCTCTCGTGACCAGGCGGAGTCGAGGGGGCCTGTGAGCTGGGTTCAGTCGGTCAGACAGACAGGACCCCAGGGATAAGACTGGCAGGGTTAATCACACACAACACCCCCTCTAGACACAGACACCTGCAGATTTGCAGGACTTTCTCTCTCACAGACCCATTTGCACATGTACTCCCTCCTTCTCCTTCTCTTTATCTCTCTTTGCTAATATCTCTCCTGGGTAAACTCGGTGTTAACCACTGAGCTGCAGCTGAGATTTTATCAGTTCTTATGTTTTATTCTACATGAGCAGTAGCTCTCTTTCTCAATGGGACAATGACAGGCTTTGATGTCAAAAGGAGGAACACAAGACAGCAACTTCGTCACTGAGAGGAAAGCACATGGGGATACTTGAAAATATGCCTGCATTCATACACTGCATCCATAATTATATTCCATGGAACCACATGTGAATGGAAAGCTATGCAAACTTGTACACAGTGCTCCAAAACATATGTGAATTTTAAAAAAAAGGTATTATTTTATTGAATTAAATAAATTGTTAAAAAAGGAAACATCTGCAAACAAATGACGATGAACTTTTTTTCCTCAGCACTAATATCACTTATCTCATCACTTCAACTATGCACCTCAATCCACATACAAAGTTTGGAATAATTCAGATTTTTATTTTTTAGGTTTTTGAAAGAAGTCTCTTACACTTGCCAATGCTGCATTTATTTGATCAAATATACAGTAAAAACAGCAATATTTTTTTTTATATTATTACAGTTTAAAAGAACAGTTTTCTGTGCTATATTTTTCAGTATTCTTTGATGAACAAAATAAAAACAGCATTTATTTGAAATAGAAATTCTTTCTAACATTATAAATGTCTTTAAATGCGTTTCACTTTTAATCAATTTAATGCATCCTTCATGAATACATGCATAATAATAATAATAATAATTATTATTATTATTATTGGAAGTGTATCACGGTTTCCTCAAAATGATTAACTGTTTTCAACATTGATAATAATAAGAAATGTTACTTGAGCACTAAATTAGCATATTAGTATGATTTCTGTGACACTGACTGGAGTAATGGCTGCTAAAAATTCAGATTTACCATCACAGGAATAAATTATATTTCAATATATATTAAAATAGAAAATAGTTCAATTGTAATCATACTTCACAATATTACGGCACAGTACAGCATTTTGAACAAACAAATGCAGATTAAATAATTATTATTAATAAACAATATATCTATTTTCTTTTTTTTATAGCATAAAACCTAACTATTTAGTATTTAAAATAAATTATAAAATCAGTATTTAAAATAAATTATACTTGATCAGATATTTCATTATCAAAATGAATGATATTTATGTATTAAGTGGTCAATATATATATATATATATATATATATATAGGCTACTCTATGTAATAGTAAGCTGCAATTGTGTTTTAGTGCAATAATTTTAAACATATCATTCCTGATTTAAATTTGTGTACCTGATCTGTTTGATCGGTCATCCATGGCCCAGTGCTGGAATAATTTGTATGAGAGACTCTGCTTATGGACTCTGCCCTATGACCTATATCAAGCACAAAAACCAGACAAATTACAGCATTAAATACACTCATTAGGAATGGGTGACCAACGTAAATAGCAACATTTATCCAAACCTGGTCATTTTCATGAAAATATGCAAATATTATGTAAATTAAAAATATGCTTCGTTTTCTGATACTATATATGTTGCATTATAAGTATTTACACAATAAGTTACTGAGACTGAGCAAGAAAGATCTTTAAGTTTCACTGACCACCAAACAATCCATTCCCCTGATGAGACAGCGTCCTCGTGTGGACTAAAACGTGGAAACCTGAGCAATCGTGGAACTTTAGTAATTGGTTAAGTAGCAAGAACCAGTAAACTTTAAAAACATCCCAAAATCAAAGGATTTTCATGATTTTTGTTTCCTTAGTCTCTTGAACACTGAAAAAAAGTAGCCTAGTAGAAGCAGTTTTCATCCAGGAATCGGCAAGTAGCCCATACACTGAACTAAACGCAAAATGTTGACTGAAATAGTAGGCTATTTTCTTGTAAAACGTACTACAATAATCTTTGTTTTATTCATCTGTGTCTATTTGTAATATTTGCCCTTTTTTTTTAAACAGTGAACGAATTCATAAAAGAATTTCCCGACTTTTTTCAACGAACTTCACTAAAATGATTTAAAGACTGAATGTATTTTTGTAAACTGATTTATGTTGTTTCGAATTCTGAAATAATCTCATAATTTGCCAACAATCTACCGAAGGCTGCAAATGCTTTAGGTACATTTCTATCTTTTTTTCCCCCAAGTATTTTAAATTAGCTAAAATAATCGTTTACGGAATTGATTTCGAATTGCGTAAAATGTAAAAAGCAGCCGTGATCTACATTAGTTCGGTGGCACATCTTAACCCTATAGATGTTGTTTCACAGTCAGTAGTTTATCAGTCCTCTGGCGCTGTTTCTAGTGCTGAAAAGCTGCTTTACATCAGACCTCCATAAATTCACAAAGCATTACCATTACATTATCATCACCAGCTCTAGGTGTTGAAGCGCCTGCGTACTATTATAACGAGCTCCATAAACGTCAGGCAAGTGACTCACGGAAGGCAGGTAATCTGGCTTTATCCTGGTCTTGGATGATTTCATCTGCCTCAGAGATTTGCTCTGGAATGTCTAATCCTTCTCTTTTTCCTTTTTCCATCAGAGAGCTGATATCACTTCTTCTGCTCTCACTGCGAAAGGCAGAGTCCAGGCTTTCTGTCCCTGGAGACTGAGGTCTGGTTGCTCTCTGAGGCATCCAGCATCTCTGATCTCTGCCGCAGTCTGTGGAATAACCCCGGAGAGAGATGAGCTCTGGATCTCCCAGTCTCGATGAAGGGTGCTGAATGGCCGGGAGCCGCACAAAAGCCACCGTGGACATCCTGACTGAAGGGTTTTAAGTCTGAACACAACTCTTCCGAGAAGCCCTTTTCCAAAGTGTGTTATGCGCTAAGAAAGATGATTTGATCTGATCAATTACGCATCGAGCTCAGGCGCTTTATAATGGCTTAAATGTAAAAAGTGTCGAATAGTTTTAAAAGAAACACCGTCTGTTTACTGTTTTACAGAAGACTAGCCAAGTTGCCCTTAGCAACAGCAAGCGCTCGCGCCTAGGGTTGCAGATTGCACGAGCAAATCTAAACGAGCGTGTTGTTCGTACACGAGACCAAGAGTATCAGTTAGCCTTTTTTTTTTTTGGAGTGTATGTAGGTAATTAATCCTAACTCAATCCGTAAAAGAAAACGTTAGCACTTTTAAATAATGAGCAGGTTTATTTTAATTATTATTACATTAATAAACTATTTTCCAAGTGAGTTTTGGAATCCGTTTTTTGCATGCATATTAATTTCTTAGCATAATATTCCAGCCTCAAGGGAGAGAAAGATAATTATATAGCTTTGTTCTGAAATTTGAGCTGATGTGTTATTACAGCCTGGCACCCGATCAAACCTCCATTGTGTTGTAAAGAAATGTCTCCTGCTTTGTTTTTTAATAACATTCAAAACACCGCAAGGAGAATACAGCTGTACTGTAGCCATGCAACAGACCTAACTAACAGGGGGGGGGGGGGGGGGGGGAAAGGGAAAGGGG